ACAATATGAAAAGAGGGATGAGAATAGGAAGGTAAAGAATCCTCCTTTATATTTAACTATGAACTTCAGAAATCTTGAATAACTCAAACTTATGACAAGTGATTTTACCAATAAATACGAAACCTTTTGGAAATAATTGAAGGTGTTGAAAGAATGCCACAATCCATATTTGGAACAACTGATCTCTCTAAAGTATCTAAAATATAGATTGGATCCCTGTGATCTCAGAAATCTGCGAGCCTTGAAATTTCGAAAGTGGTTTTCTCCATTAGGGGAAAATCTTGTGGAATATGAGGAGTTGATTGATATAGTTGCAGTGGCGGTCCACCAAAGGGTCAAGTGTTATTAGGGCAATTTTGATGTCCTCCGACTCTCGGTGTGTATCATCTGTTTGACAAAATGCTTGAATGAAACGTTAAGCTGCGAACGATCTTGAACTCCTGGAATTTAAGCTGAAATATGACATGTTATGGCAAATTTTGATGGATTTCCATAGCATAAGTTGAATTGGAATGACGACAATGACAAGGGGCACTCAAAGGATATCTGAAATTTTGGATGCCTTGATTGATCTTTAGAAATTGAGCAAAAACTGAAATATCCATTCTTTTGAATGTCGGAAATTTAAACAATTCCCTGCATATTATAAAAAAAATGGAGAAGAAATTATATATTACTCACACAGCAGACCACACCTCAAAAGAACAGAAGTAAAAAAAAAAACAATCGTGAACATGGCTTCGCCCGGGTTCGAACCGGAGACCTTCAGTGTGTTAGACTGACGTGATAACCAACTACACCACGAAACCTTGTTGGCGATTCTTTTTCTAAAATGCTATTTCTTTGTACCATTAAGTTCTGTATCTCAATATCTGTTTCGGTACTCTTTCGTCTAATATGGATAATTCAGAAAGTTGAACAAGATGGCCTATTAGCTCAGCTGGTTAGAGCGTCGTGCTAATAACGCGAAGGTCGCAGGTTCGAGACCTGCATGGGCCAATTTAGTTTTTACGATTTTCGGTTTTTAAGCCTGACATTCGAGAGAGCGAATTGTTTTAAGGTGGCAGGTTCGAAACTTCTATGCTCTTCTTTTCTTTTGGGGGTTTTAATTGGATTAATGTCACATCCCCCTTCATTGATTGAATTGTTTTAGAGTCTCTAATAGTATCTTCTTGTTTTTGGGAACAAGCTGAAGTTACAGCGATAATCCTTGAAGGATATTTATTGATCACACACAGTACATGTATCTTTAAAGTTTACTAAGAAATTTTGAAAACCAAATACTATTATGACGATAATGTTGTCCTAATGTAGTTACTGCATCAACTACCTAAATCCTAAATTTAAAGATATGCATGAGCGATAGTAGTGAAAACTTCACCCTTGAGGTGGTTGATATCTTGGATGACATAACTAATTCTCCCAGAAAATTGTGTTTTGCCGTTAATTATGTTGATGAGAACTTGTATATTCCTTCCACTTGAACATGATTTAAACCCTAGATGTTAATATCTAATTGTCTATTTGCAGAATAGATCTTATATAATGATACCTAATTGAAATTGAGAGTGAAACAAAAATCTTTAACGTAAAATCTTCTAACTTTTTCATTCATTATGTGTTAGTAAACGTTAAATACGTCAAAAATTAGAACGACACTCCTACATTTTATATTGTCATTCTGGATAAGTAACCACGTACTAAGCCTAATGTAGACAAATAAAACGTTGAAGTTTAGAACCTGTGGAGTAGGAGGCCAAGGATATATGAACTTGCTTGTCTGACCACTAGTATCTTTATCCCAAATGAAAAACTTGCCACTTGGCTTCCAACACAGCCAAACCCTCTACCTTCATACCACCAATCACAGCAAGCCTTATCCTATCCATTTTATCTTACTCCCACCAACTAACTCCCCATTTGCCACACAAAAACGCTTCCAAATACTCAAATTATTGTGTGAGAGATCACAAAAAAATAGTGAACACAACCATGGCAGCCTCCCTCCAAGCAGCTGCTACGCTCATGCAGCCGACCAAGGTCGGCGTGTCTGCGAGGACCAGTGTGCAACTGAGGTCCTCTCAGAGTGTCTCCAAGGCCTTTGGCTTGGAGCCATCTGCTTCTGCTAGGCTCACTTGCTCTTTGCAATCTGATCTCAAGGACTTGGCTCACAAGTGCCTTGATGCATCCAAGATTGCTGGATTTGCTCTTGCTACTTCCGCTCTCGTCGTTTCGGTATGACATGCTAACTCCATTTCACTCCTTAGTTTCTTGCTTCATGTGATTGAAATTGTGGTGTACAAGTAGAACAATGACTAAGTTGTTTGCATTTGAACTTTTGTGAATTTATGTTTACAATATCGACATGTTCTCCATTAATTTGTTAGAATTGGATCGTCTCACCAGACGCGAGTAATATTCGTTTTAGATATATGACATGTTATGTTGTTTGGATCACAATCTGAATCGCATATCATATGTACCTATGCTCATCTAATAAGTGGGATTGAAAACCTATCAAAAATAATGCAGCATCACTTGATTTTATATAGTATGGATATAAATATCACTATTTCAATTTAGATTGACAGTTTGACAACAACTTAGGTAACGTGATCATCGGATTCCTTTTTATTATTAAGTAAGATTGACATTTGGTCATTCTTGGCCAACACTTCGTGTTTCAGGGAGCAGGTGCAGAGGGAGCTCCAAAGAGGTTGACCTTCGACGAAATCCAGAGCAAGACCTACTTAGAAGTGAAGGGAACAGGAACTGCTAACCAATGCCCAACCATCGATGGAGGATCCGAAGCATTTGCCTTCAAACCCGGCAAGTACACTGCCAAGAAGTTCTGCCTAGAGCCAACATCCTTCACTGTCAAGGCAGAGAGTGTGAGTAAGAATGCTCCACCAGAGTTCCAAAACACCAAGCTGATGACCCGCCTAACCTACACCCTCGATGAGATCGAAGGACCTTTCGAAGTTGCCCCAGATGGCACCATCAAGTTCGAAGAGAAAGACGGAATTGACTACGCTGCAGTGACAGTCCAGCTCCCGGGAGGCGAGCGCGTGCCCTTCCTCTTTACCATCAAGCAGCTTGTAGCCTCTGGCAAGCCCGAAAACTTCACAGGAGAGTTTCTAGTACCATCATACCGTGGATCCTCTTTCTTGGACCCCAAGGGAAGAGGAGGATCCACCGGTTATGACAATGCGGTCGCACTGCCGGCAGGAGGCAGAGGAGACGAGGAGGAGCTGGCAAAGGAGAACACCAAGAATACAGCAGCATCGAAAGGGAAGATAACACTGAGTGTGACAAAGACCAAGCCTGAGACTGGTGAGTTGATTGGGGTGTTCGAGAGCCTTCAGCCATCCGACACTGATTTGGGAGCCAAGACTCCAAAGGATGTAAAAATCCAGGGAATTTGGTATGCTCAGCTTGATTAGTTTCGTTTTCCTCTATGTATTAATGGTGATTCTGGGTTTCAGATTTTGCTATAAATTAAAAGGTGTTGCTCAACTCTCTTTGTAACCCAACTGAACAACAAGCACTGAGATCACTCAGATCATTATCTTCTTGTATATTATCTTGTATGTATTATCTTTCTTGTATATTATCTTTTAAGGAGTCAAACTTCTTTGACGGTAAATCATTATACGTCAAAATTTGACGTGCGCAAAAACTGTTTCTTATAGATGCGCCAGACAACGATTTGCAGCGAAAAAGTAACGAGCGATATTGATTAGAATAAATTATGGCCATCGACATGATCTTTTTACGCTAAGTGCTTTCTCATGTCCTTTTATATGGTTGGTGAGCCACACAAATTTGACATTTGGACCGAGTGGCATGCATTTGGTAGTATTCTCTTCAAGATTGTCAAACTTTTAAAAGAAAAAAAAAAAAAAAGAGTGATTATAATTCTCTGTGTTTTGTATGGCAAAACTTGAAAGTAATTATATTATATTCATATATGAAATAATATTTAAACCCTCTATGAAAGAGACCATTGAACCATGATATTTGGGAAATTATTATATATTAGATTATCTTAAATGAAAAGCAACAAACATTTAATTAAATATTAATTCTTCAATGGACGTTGTTTTCGTCTCAATTTTTATAATATTACTAGTAAAATGATGTGGTTTGGGTAAAAAGATAACATGTTGACAAAGCTAGATTCATGTAGACTTTAAAAATAATAGAGAAGAAAAACTAAATTAAAAAAAACAGTTTAGTAATATTTTTTTTGTCGCTCATAAGTAGAGGGTTAAATTTTGAATTACATGAATGATAAAGATGTATAATATCAATGTTAAGTTTGAAATCTAATTATATTTGACTTATCGTCTTCTTTCACTTGTAAATGACAGTAAAGTCATAAACCAACTAGATTGTGTTCATGAAGATTAAATACATGTTAAGTGAGAAATGAAGTTTGTCAAGTTTCATTTGAGCTTTGTACTACTTTTTGGTTCTTTTGTATCCAACATGTATTAAAATACACTCGGCAATTAATCATGCAAAATAAAACAAAGACATATAATAGCAAATTTAAGGTCAATTCCCTTACTTTAGATGCTTTGATTCAAAGAACCTTATTGGGGAAAAATAAATAAATAAATAAAGAGAAGAAAAAAAACACTATTTTTATCCACCTAATAATTTTTGGGTTTTGCCTTAATGGTTGAGAAATTACTGATACATCATCGCGTGCCAATGAAATAAGAATATATAGATAAAATTTACATATGTTTTTATTTCATTGGCGTACGAACGCCACTATGATTGTATATCTATGTCATATAGTCACTCTCGATGATTAAATTTTTTTAACTTATTTAGGATTAAACCCTAAGTAAATAAAAATATAAAATTCGCTTATAATAATAATAATAATAATAATAATAAATGAAGTGGGATGAAATGGAGGACAAGATGCCACACGCCCTACCTGCCGGAAAAGAACATTAAACTACTTATGCCCAAATGAAGGAGAAGATGCCAAAGCCAACGCCAAAAACCCACCAAAACTGCGTAACCTTTACGTCCCTCTCACTTTTCTTTTCTTTTCTCCCAAACACTCCTTTTCCTTCACAATTCACCACAACGATTCACATTCCCATTACCATTCTTCCCACCAGAGCAAGTCCTCCTCTGCCCCTTCAAAACCCAGTTCCCATATTTCCCCACAATTATTTGGAACTCCACTTTCGTCACAATTATTTGGTCATGTGGCTGAGAAGAATTGTTCTTGAATTTCGTTTACCATGAGGAGTTCTTGTTGCTGGTGCTGCATGCAATTGCAAACATGGATGAACTGCCGGGGTCGTTGGGAACCAGCGCCAGCTTGGCTCTGCGATTCGGGCAGACCATCTTCTCCACTGCCTCCCTTCTCTTCATGTGCTTGGACGTCGAGTTCTACAGCTACACCGCTTTCTGGTACTTTCGAATTCTTCGAATTTGGAGTTTCTTAGTTGAATTTCATCCGACCCTTTTGTGATTTTGACTTGTTGTTCAATACCCATGTCTCTGTTTCTGAATTTGATGGCAATTCTGTTGTGACTTCTTGGACTGGATATTGACTTTTGGCTTTGTTAAGAACTGGAAACTGTGTTTCTGTAAAGATCATATGGAGATTGAACTGGTTAAAATTTAACATATTCTATACATGCAAAAGATTATAATAATATATAGTTGGGCTTACTGATGAAGAATCTTCAGTATATGCTATTGTTTCTAAGTTTCTCCTAATTGAGCAACTAAATATGTTGGAATTTTTGTAGAGAATGAACTGTTTAGGACTCTGTAATTCACTATCGAATTTTCTATGTCGATGGGAAGGTTTACTTTGTATGTTTATTTGAATCAAACCTAGAGATTATGTTAGTTCTAGTTTTTAGCAGCTTTGAAGTCATTAGAACATTGTAGAGCATCAAAACTGCTTCTTGATAGAGTTAACTGGTTTTATGGCCCGTAAGATGTGAATCTTGATTCGAAACAAGAAACTCTTGAACCGAGAATTGGAAGCAAAATCTTTCAGCCTTCAAACATTATAGTGTAAACTCTCATGGAAATGAAAAGACTGTAAACTCTCATTGTAGAACATTGTGGTATCATCTGCTCTTAGTTGACTTTTTTTCCTTTTTCTCACAAAGCTAATTTTGCACGTCTGTTTTTGTTGGTCATTGACTTAGTCTTTAAGAATTTATGCTCTAATGATATGTCCAAAGAAGTCTACTGTGTTCACCTGTATGTGTTTGCTTCCATTGCTCCAAATGTACTTCCAATCAATAACCTCACCCTGAACTTGTCCTATTGGTGTCTTCTCGAACCTGTAAAATGTTGCCATCTCTAAAAGTCTTCTGGTGAAGAGCTAGAAATTTTAACAGTTAAGAACTTTTCAACTTCTAAAACCTAACGAATTCAAGTCACTTTTCCTGCAACGTTTGTTTCTTCATGTGCTAATCTGTAAACTGAAATGATTCTATGGTGCTATTTGAATTGTCCATTATAGCCATTATCAGATTTATGTTGTCTCGGTTATTTCACGTTTGCAAAATGAAGGAGATGAAAATGCTCAACGAGAACTCTTTTAGTAATATATAGTAGTAACTCTTACCATTGCTTGTGTTGGCGTTGCAGCTATTTGGTGACGGTAATGGGTTTGGTAGTTCCGTGGAGCATGACGTTGGTGATCGTTGATGTCTACTCTGTCTTCTTTAGATGTTTGCCTCGTCGACCAAGAATAACTACAGTAATTATTTTAGGAGACTTGGTATGTGTTTTTGTCTATAAACTTATTTATCTCATTAAGAACAAATTCTTCGTTTTCCCAACTTAAGAATATATTATGTTCGTTTCATCACAGGCAGTTGTCGTATCTCTCACTCGCTGCAGCTTGCTCGACGGCTAGTACCTCAAATCTCCTACTTTATCTTGGTAGATCCTACTGCCCCGCCAAGTTATGTACTAGATATCAGTTATCTGCTGCAATGGCTTTCCTTTCTTGGTTTCTTTCACTAGGTTCCTCTCTATTCAATCTTTGGCTTCTTCCTTCTTTGTAAAGGTCTTGCCGGCTGTTGTCATATACAGAAAATGAGCTCCGCCGAGATTGAAACAATCCTGTTATATGCAGAAACTTTTAGGAGATACAAATAGGGTCGTTCTGAGATGAAGCTTAGAGAAATGTATATTGCAAAGTTATTTTGTTGAGTCGTATTTTATGAAGAAAGAATAAGTTTTTCTAGTCACTTGTAAATGCAAGTGACACCTGTAACCATATTTGCAAGAAGCTTTTGTTGAAATATCCCATATTGACCATATCTTTGTGAAAATAAGGGTTTAAATACCCAACTCTACTCCAACTAATACTGAAGCCTTTTTTTGTGATAAATCCCCACACCTGTCGGACTGTGCAGGTGGTAATTAACAAGTTTGGGACAATACTGAAGCCTTCTTTGGCCCGTCTTTCTGATAATTTTTCATGGTATCAGAGCCAGGGACAATGATGGTGGGTCCCTTGGCCTCGCGTGTAGGGTGAGTTCCCTTGACTTCACGTCCTACGTGTGACCCACTAATTGATTCCACGTGAAGGGGTGTGTTGAAATATACTCCAAGATAGTGGGTCCCTTGGCCCTGCCTGTAGGGTGAGTTCTCTTAGCTCTATATGGTTGCCGATGTGTGAATCTTCTACGTGTGACCCACTAATTGGGTCTCACATGAGGGGGCATGTTGAAATATACTCCATGATGGTGGGTCCCTTGGCCCCATGTGTAGGGTGAGTTATCTTGGCTCTACGTGGTTGCTGATTTGTGGATCTTTTATGTGTGACCCACTCATTGGGTCTTATGTGAAGGGGCGTGTTGAAATATCCCACATGGACCGTATTTCTGTGAAAAGAAGAGTTTAAATATCATAACTCCACTCTAACTAATACCAATGCCTTTTGTAATAAAATCTCACACCTGACGAATTATGTAGGTGGTAATTATCAAGTTGGGGACAATATCGGTGTTGTTGGAAGTGGACCTTTAGCCCGTCGCTCTGATAATTCAACAGGTTTACATATGGGTCATTTGGTTTAGAACATATAACACTAACATTATGAATGGCACCATTGTGGGTTGCACTTTCTTTATATTTAACATGTTTGGTTATTAGACTGTCAATTTAAATCTTACATTCAAATAAAAATTAATAATATGGCTTTGTTTTTTAGGCGATAATCATTCGGTTATAATAATTAGATATCAAATTTAATCATGTGAGTTTGGAGATCTTCCATACAAATTAAAGGCTAGTTGTTTTTGCAACATGATATTTTTCAACCCAAACAAAAAACAAGGTATCTTGTAATTCATAATACCGTTACATTTACCTCCAAACCAAAATTCCAACGGCCATGTTCTTCACTCCCAAAAATCCGACCGTTGCTTCCCGCTTCTTTCACTCTCTACACCCCACTCTCCCTTCAAAGCCCACCAATTTCGCCCACAAATTCAAAAACTCCACTCACCAAACCCTGCACCTTCTCCTTGAGCAATGCTCCTCCATGAGAGAACTCAAACAGCTCCACGCCCAAATCATTCTCCACAGCCTCACAAACGAAAACCTCACGCTCGGAAAACTCATATCATTCTGCTCCGTCTCCGATCCCAGAAATCTCCACTACGCCCAGCTTGTGTTCGACCAAATTCCTGAACCAAATAAGTTTATGTACAATAGTCTTATAAGGGGTTACTCAAATAGTGATGACCCATTTAAGGCTTTTTCACTCTACTGCCAAATGGTTGGTTCAGGTCTTTCACCGAACGAGTTCACGTTGCCCTTTGTGCTCAAGGTTTGCGTGGGACAGTCCGCGTATTGGGAAGCCGTGGCTGTTCATGGCCAGGCTATTAAACTAGGAATTGGGTCTCAAGTTTGCGTGCAAAATGCCCTTATTGCTGTCTATAGTGTTCGTGGGTTGATCCGGTGTGCTCAGAATGTGTTTGATGATATGTCTGAGAGGAGTCTGGTTTCATGGAATTCAATGATCGGTGGCTATGCTAGAATGGGTTCGTGCAAGGAGGCTCTGTTGTTGTTTAGGGAGATGAGAGATTTGGGGGTTGAGCCTGATAAGTTTACTTTGGTTAATTTACTCTCTGTTTGTTCACAAGCTTGTGATTTGGAATTGGGAAGATATGTGCACTCTTTTATTGAGGTTAGTGGGATTGAAATTGACCAAATTGTGAGAAATGCTCTTCTGGATATGTATGCCAAGTGTGGACATTTGCACATGGCAAGAACAATTTTTGATCAAATGACCCACAAAAATGTGGTTTCCTGGACGTCAATGGTTAGAGCATACACTAAACATGGGCTCATTGAATTTGCCCAGGAGTTTTTCAACCAGATGCCACATAAAAATGTGGTTTCTTGGAATTCAATGATCTCATATTATGTCCGGGAAGGCCAGTGCAGGGTGGCTTTGGATCTATTCCAGAAAATGCTTAATTCCAGTGTGGTGCCTGATGAGGCTACCTTGGTTTCCGTCCTTTCAGCCTGCAGTCAAATTGGCGATTTGGTCATTGGAAGGAAAACCCATAATTACATTTGCAACAGCAATATTGCACCCAGTGTAACTCTTTTTAATTCCCTTATGGACATGTATGCAAAATGCGGTGCTGTTGAAATTGCCATGGACATCTTTATTCTGATACCAGAAAAGAATGTAGTATCATGGAACATCATTATCGGGGCCCTTGCATTGCACGGTCGCGGATCAGAATCAATCGGGATCTTCGAACAGATGCAAGCAGGTGGAATCTGGCCGGATGAAATCACCTTCATCGGACTGCTTTCTGCTTGCAGTCACGGTGGTCTTCTAGACTTAGGGAGACATTACTTTGAAAAAATGAAGTCTACTTACAGAATATCACCTGAAATTGAGCACCATGCTTGCATGGTAGATCTGCTGGGGCGAGCTGGACTTTTAGAAGGAGCAATGAGGCTGGTAAGAGGAATGCCAATGAAGCCTGATGTTGTCATTTGGGGTGCTTTACTTGGTGCTTGTAGGATCCATGGAAATGTGGAATTGGGAAAGCTGATTCTAAAGCAGCTGTTGGAGTTGGAACTGCATGGTTCTGGGCTTTATGTACTTCTAGCAAACATATTTGGGGAAGCGCACAGATGGGAGGATGTTAAGAACATCAGGAAACTAATAAAAGACGGCGGATCCATAAAGAGTAAAGCAGTGAGCTCGATTGAAATTGATGGCCGTGTTTATGAATTTACGGTTGATGACAAGAGACATGAAACTTCAAGCAGTATATACTCCATGCTTGATCAATTAACAGATCATCTGAGGCCTACTGGGTATGCTCCAAGTGCGATTTTGGATATTGAAGAATCATAGTTGCTGTATCTGTAAGTTAGAACCGTAACACTCTGATAATTATTTATACTTTTAATTGTTTTTATATGAAGTGATTTGCAAGTAGCCAATGCCTGCTTCTGTTTTCCATACCAAACCCAGTCGGGAGAAACTCACCTTAATTAAAAATAACTATGCTTTTAGAATTCAAGATAAAGGTTTGTTTAAATGTCAAGTCATTAGCACCGCCTGACCGAAGTTACAAGTGTTGATCTAATTTTTGGTTACTTACTTTGACAAGGTATTAGGCAATAGAACTGGAAACTTACTCCTTTGAGTTCTAAAGTTGAGTGTGTGAAAGGTAAAGATGCGAAGAAAGTAACTTGCAACTGATAATATGAAACTAAAAGTATCATTGAAATTCTAGTTGATTTAAGTAGGATATACAGCATATGATCATCATTGAAATTATAGCTAACATGAAATTTTACTGCAACTTAAAGTAGGATATACACCTTTTGACCACGGAGCAAGTAGAAATGTCTTCTACAAAAAGGTTTCTTCCTTTCAGGGCGTTGATTAAGTGTACGAAACAGAGCTTGAGCACCTGGATTTAGACTTCTCTCTAGTTTGAGAGCAAGTCAACCGTGCAGAAAGAACCTAATACCGACTGATGCATCATGGTCGTTGCTAATAGGTTACTTCGCGAGTTCGAAAATTGTAAAACGTACAATGAAAATCCTTAAAAAATACTACTGTACGAACTGTTAGGGAGTAGTGAAACTTGGAAGGATCAAGGATGCACACCTAACATGCAGGTCGCCTTGTTTTTGTTTTTAACCAGCTATGGCCACTTCTTTCTGTATTTTTTTCTTGAGAATAATAATCTGCTTTCCTTTTCCTGTCTTCAGAACTTCATGTCAAACTGCAGCTAATAGGCATATATATATGTACGGATGGGAACAACTAAAACTTCCATACAAGTTTCATTGAATCGAATGTAGGGACTACAATGAAGTATTAACAGTAATATTTTGCTCATTTTTATTCTATCCGATTGTATGTAGATTTAGTGATTTACTGAAATATTTTTGGATTAAGGGCATTATCCAATCCTTTTGCTGCAGTTCAACAAAAAGGACAAAACCCAAGATCCAATCTTGCAAGGAAAGAAGAAAGAAAGCCACATCCAATCCAAGGTATCTCATTTCTTCTATATTTTTAATGATCTCAATCGTCCTGTCGAATTCATAGGGCGAGTAGGGGACAAAAATTCTTTGTATTTGTTGAAAATTTGTTCAATTATTTAGTACTGCATTCTTTGTATTCTTTGGTTATGCAGATTGCAGAACCAATTTGACCAAAGCTCGAGTCTTTCCAAATCTTAAGGAGAGGTGGGGCCCTGACAGCCATGCATGGATAAAGTGCTCTGGATCAAGAACTTTCATGGTAATGACCTTGCCCTACTTTTTTTTATCAACTTTCTGCAATCTTCACTGATAAAAATAATGCTAAAGCGATATGTTGTCCAACCTTTCAAAATGTTCAAATCTAACATCTAGGGTTTAAGTATTAGTTAGATCGGATTCTTTTCCAGGGTTTTGTCTGAATTCATTATCCACACATAATTGAGTAGGATTTGCTTTTATCCGGTTGGTGGGGTTCATTGTTTGTGTTGCCAACATCTCTGCTTCAAAATTCAATTAATTTACCAAACAAAAGAAAATAAAGTCCAAGCCAGAAATAAAAGAACGCAAATCTCATAACTCATTCACAACAATAATTTCTTATTCGAAAATTGATCCTGAATTTGAATATATTCTTTCTTTTATATATTGAACGAACGGAGGTCCGTTTTTTATCGAAAAACAAAGAATCTGAACATATTCTTTACATATAGTCCGGCTATGAAGCACAGGTTGGAGAATGGGGAGTCGGTAATGTGTTAGTAACATCGTAGCGTGTTCTTTCATTAATAAAGAACGAATGTCTTATGTAAAGGGTACTTGTATTTATATATACATCTAGGCCTTAGCCCAAATGAAAGCAGCGCCCAAAACATATTTCCAAGATGGGCTCATAAACAGACAAAAGGGCCAGCAAAGATTTGAGAGGGAGAGGGTGGTGAGAAAGGAACAGAAAAGGTCATTTGTCAAAATAATTAAGCTTTTTAATGACAAATGATTAAAAACACAAAAGATTGTTTATTTTAAAAATAATTAACTAAATGATTAAAAAGCACAAAAGGCATTGGATGTTAGACATATTTTTTGGGGTCAAAAAGTGCATGATTGAAGCACTTATTTTAAGAGGGATACATGCGTGACTATTTTGGTGGGCAACTTGGAGGGGTGCAGAAGAACGCTAAGAAGCTTCAAGGAAAGAAGGTTTAGGGAATTGATGTGGGACATTGTAATAATTAAGGCCCATAAAGTAAGGTTGATAATTATAATAATTATAATCAAAACCAGAACAATCGTAGTAATCTTTCTGACAAACTATGGGGTTTTAGTGGTTTTGGGTTTATTAAATTTAATTAAGCATACAAGGGGGCCAAGTGGGTAGCTCTTTGTTCTAAAATGTAGGACATATTAACATGCGTAAAAAACAATTAACAAAGACCATCACAATCCACGAACTCCATTGCCTGTGTGGTATTGTCAGGGTTTGAGCCCTTTGCTGACAGTTTCATACTTAATGGTCCTTGAGACTACTCATGTCCCACATCATCGTACTAACAGAAAATTTAATAAAATGACTAAAATGATTTACGATAGACAAATACATGGTTCACTTCAATCAATTTTCATCATTAGGAACCAAACCGAAGAATCTCAGATACTATTTTGGCTAAAAAATCAATATATTATTTCATTTAATTGCCAGTAGGTGCAGGATCCATAATTGGTGATCATTTTCTCTCTCTCTCTCTTCCAATAGAACTTGAGTATGCATGCCAAAATGGAAGAAATCCTGGATTTCCTGTTTTCTTTTCTTTTGTTTAAGAATGTGTTGAAATTAAGTGTGGATTTGGATGTCTTTATATCATTTGTCATACAAGCAAATTTAAAAACTCAACTCTCTCCTCCAACCACACTTTGAAGTTTAACCCTCTAAAGATCCAAAATGTGAAAATTTTTACAATTACATTCCTTAAGTCAAAGTATTGATGTAACAATGTCCATGAAATTCAATGCCAATGGATTCATATAACATGCTTAATTGATGATAATGTATGTTGATGCAGGATTTGACATGCTATGCTGTTAAATTATGTATGTAAATTTGAATTATTTACTTCTATGCAAACTATTCAAATAATCTTCAAACTTATGAACAATTTAGATTGACCAATTCGATGAATGATAATATTGTATTGTCGTAGTATTTATATGGATATACAGATTCAAATAAAAGTCTGCTCAATGAATATTTTAGATTCAATAAAAGGGATGTTGATGACATATTGTCGTTGAATTTAACATGTTATGTTGTTAAATTATTTAATTATCTAACTTTATTATGATGCATGTATAATTTAGATTTATAGTCTGACAACGTAAGAAGGAAGATAACGAGTACTAGACAACATCCTAGTTATCATACATACGTAGTGATAGTAATTAAGTGATAGTGGCACAACAACACTAATAAACATATACAAGAATTGTAGTTAAAAGAGAGGAGGTTTGTGGATTGCAGGATGATAAGAGTCACCGGGGAAGCAGGAAAGGGCGGCGGACTTTGGAAGCTTATTAAATAAGTTTAAAAATGAGAGGAGGGCTGCATTGCGCCGGGATGCATGGATGAGCAAGCAGCAAACCAGCAACCACGTCAGCTTACGCCACCGCTTGTCTTGTCGGATACTTGATTCATTACCTTGCAATAATATATATATATATATAAAAGAAGTTTTAAGGGAAGAGATCTTTTTTTTTTTTTAAAAAAAAAAAATAGAAACATCATCTCGATCGTTAGATCTGGTTTTAATGAAATTTTATGGTTAAAATTCCGTGCCTGTGATTTAATCTTAACCATAGAATTTCATTAAAACCTCAATCACAAAATTTCATTAAATTCAAATCTAATATTCAAGAAAATATTCATATTCCTTCACCTAAAAGGCATATATATATACACACACATATATATTGTATGTACGTCATTATATTATCTACTTATTAGTTATAGCTTGCTTGTTGCAGTTTTCATGGCTACTCTTTTCCACGTGCTCTCATGCATTGCAGCGATGCACCACCTCACCCCCCCGGGGCACCCTGCCACGTTTCCATTTCTCATCATTCATGCATTCCAATTTTATATTTTTCTTCTTTTTTGTTTGTTGGAATTTTCTCTGCCCTTGGAGTTGGGCCAAATTTTGAACAATGTGCCTGCAAAGCGCCAAAGTGCGAAGAAAACGTTGCAAGTTCATCAGCCACCCACTCTCTTCTGGTCACCAATTATTCACTCATTTTGTTGTCTCTGGGAAAATACCCCATCTCTCTCCCCCCTAAACCGAATAGGATCCCCTTCTGATATTCTTGGTGAGAATTCGAATGATCAATTAATTGTATTTGTTTATCGTATATTATGTGAGAAATTATTTTAAATTTTAAATTGAATATAATTAGTATCTAATAAAAATTAACTGTACAATATATAATAAACGAACAAGATTGATTGATCATTGAATTCCTACAAAAAGAATCTGAAAAGTATCCTTGTTCCCCATAAATTACAATTCACCTGCAGATTTTGTCTGGGGAGTGGAGATGCTGGAGTGACATGAACCCTTTCACGCATGTGAAAATTCAGTGTCCAACAATTGGAGTTTTAGCAATGTGAATTGTATGTGACAGATTTCGTTTGGTTTTTTGGGGGTCGCAATTAGTATAAAAAATTCGGACCCTTCTTACTTCTGGTTTTATGTATGCGTTTCTAGGGTAAATGAGCCAAACGTATTATCTATAGAATTAGGCAGACATAAAACTTTACTACTTATAAACGAAGAAAAATATTCTTTGTCGTATTAAATATTTGTCATTTTCATATTAGTATATTAGTATACGTAAGATATGTCAGAAATGAAAAAAAAAAAAAAAAAAAAAAAACACGTACTTCTTATATTCACCCTAATACTTATCTTCACAAATATCTGCATGGTTTTTTTTTTTCAGCTTTTCTGTGTTGTTTGCAGGGGTAACTTTGTAAGGAGAAGCATTTTGTGACTTTTTCTTCCATTTAAAAAAGTACTCAAAGCTCCTTTTACCCAGTGGAATCCATCCAAAAGTAGCACATTAGCATATATAGGGCCATACACCTCTTAAAGCCTAATCTAGCATCTAAAAACCCCCAAAGTTTAAGCATAAGTGACCAAAACCTTCAAGGCTAAGGAAGGCTATATATTTCACATTAGGGGGATGGAGAGTTCGGCTAAGCCACACAATAGGCAACTTAATTTGATATCGAATTCGCCATCTACGAGATTCGAACCTAAGACCTTTCACTTACAAGTGAAAATGAATAGCATCAGACAATAGTACTGAGTCTATTCACCAGACAGTACTACTGCGTGGCTTCTAGGATTTGCTTTTAAACATTCTTTTTTGATATTTGCCTTCTTCCAATGGTTAATGGTTTTCACATTTCTATGTTCTGGTTTTAATTCCATAGCAAATAAAATCCATGATTGTAATACTCTCTACATTTTATTCTTTAAAAAGCAAAATTCTATCTGTTTCATGATTAATCATGATAAAAATTGAGATTAAATACTAATTAATTAGTTATAAAAACAATTGGTGGACCCATTATATTCAGAAAACAAACAAAATATATAGTAACTAAATCTCTCACAACAAACACAAGGGGGAAGTGGAAAATATAATTGGAACCATATATTAATATTAGTACCCCCAGAAAAAAGGGGTTGATATATAATAGTAGTACCATCATGATCATGATCATAATCATGGTTAGGTGGGTCTCCCATTCCCATAATCCCATTATCCATGAAATGGCTTGCCAAGTTTAGCAGTTCTTCCCCTTTTTACAAGCATCCTTTGACATCACTCTCTACTTATAGAAACTGTGCTAATCTCATGACCAACCCTAGTCCCTACCCTTGTAATTTTATACAACCAAGAGGGCAATTTATCTAAGGATATAAGTCTTTCATTGATCAAATAAAACAAAGAACATCACACTTTCTTAATGCAATTTTAAGTTTATAAACGCAACAGAAAGAAAATTAAAACTTACTCCACATAAACCCATCTAACCAAACGAAAAGGTAATTCTTACGAAGATAAAACCTTGCACCATGTGTTGATGATGAACTTGTAAAAGACAACGCTCGTTCGGCAAGAAGCCTTGGTACGAGACATCTCGAAGATGTTCCTATAGTCCTTTGC